GGTAATTTTACGTGATGAGAGAACCAATGACATGGCTGAACGCAAGCCTTTTCTGTATATAGAACAACGTTACTAATTAGTGTAAACGCCTTGCCTGATTGTTTATCTGCACAGGTATTGTAATGTCTGCTCGATGGATGTCAATCATAACAATTTGAAACTGCATTTGTTCTCTACAGTATTAAAAAGGTTAATGAACCTTAACTTTGTCGTTGTGAACTATATCTAGGTATCTACAAATGAAAAACCAGCCCTTCCTCAAAGGCCGGCAACGCAGTATACATGGGCGACAGTGGTCACTTAACATCAGGTGATCTTTGAGCTCGTTTGCCTCCTTTATTATAAAAAAAAAATCATCCAGTTTTTTTCCGAGTGTACCTAAGTTATTCCTACCAGACATAAACAGGATATCGCTAAACTTATTTAGAGAAGGTCGTCTGCGCATAACTTGTTAAGATTTATACGCCACCAGGTCTCCCATTCATATCCTTTCGCATAAAACTGTATATGTTTACAATTGATATGTGAAGTTAGATAAAGAAATTTATAGGGATCTCATCTGCTTATTTACTATACATAGGTATATAAAATCAAATGCATGTGACGTATTTCGGAAAATAAAACGAGCGATGGAAACATGAGAGCAGATATGAGAAACGGGTCTTATAATTAATTGTAATTACACCAATACTACACCTTGTTCAATAAAACCATTTTACGTAGTTAAGTCTTTGAATTTTTGTCTTGATTTTCTGTCATGCAATCTGCCCTGTGGCCAAGGACCAAAGATGCATATATTATTATACTTAAGCGTTGTGCGTTTCGCGCTCTGTTTTGGCAATATGACACGAGGTATTTGGCCAAAATTCATTTGGTCACGTACCAATCCACACCGTTAATGACAGTGTAACACAAAATCTTTATTCATCTCCTAATTACAGGGCATGTTGTCTTTAATTTTATATCTCCTTCGCCCTGTGCAATTATTGTATGCGTTAGAAGCATTTAAGACAGTTTACGCTTTTAGCGCAATGATATTAGTACGACGCGTCTATATATAAAATGTCAATGTCGTGGACCCTGGAAAGTGTCCACAATGACGGGAATTATAACCAAAACCAAAATAAAAAAATGTCACTACTTCTAAGTAAGTTTTAGTGAACGACACTTAAATGGATTTAAGTTGGACACATTTAGCGTTATTTTAAGGTATTGGCTTCGGCGCCCAAGTTCGCGGATTAGATTCGCATATGAGACAACCATTTGTGTGACCCACAGATAATTGTTTCGGATCTGGGTGTTGTTCCACGTGAAATTTATATATGTAAAACGTCTTTACAACACAAGATAATGGTATCCTACAGTAAAGGGAAGAAGAAGAGAAAAGCAGAAGAAGGGAAGACTAATAGATCCTTCTAGGTCGTTGTCATCTTTGGGAATTACTACCCAACTCATTCCACACAATATACAAAATAGTCTGGTGGTAATTGCATTGAAACGACAGACTGAGTGCGTAAAGTTCATCAGCGCTCGAATACTTATAATGTATAATGGTTTAATCCAATTCCCATCTTCCTATGTTTTTATAAACCAAGAACATTAATGCAGGAAATCTAGTCAACACGACAACAGATGAATAAATATCTAAATACATTCCGGATTTAGTAACAAAAAATCTGTTACGCTGGACTAAACACGGGCAAATAAAAACCGTCCAGCCTCGCGCTGAACCATAAAAATCCTCTGTACTGCTTCACTGAATGAGAACGGTATAAAAGATTAACACATTGTATGATGACAATTAATATTTTGTTTCATAAACTAACGAAGCAGCGGAAAGGCTTATTTTGTTTGTTTGCATGACGATTCCAACGAAATCGAAGCAGATAAAAATTAAAGTTCCTTAATTTTTTTATATAAAATTTGTATAATTAGTGTCAACTGATAATTAAAAGTTATATACATACAAATAAAATGAACAGACTATTCTGATATAAAGTATTACACACACAGACACTGTGAAACTCGTCTCGGACAAAATCTCGTCGAGTTAAACTTAAGCCTTGTATATCCCATGTGAAAATCGTTTAAAATTAAACATGTATGCTTTTGACGTAATTATTTTCTTGTTTATTTGTGTACTGCGTATCTCTGAACAAATAATACATTGCAAAGGTAGTGCATGAGCAGGCGTGTCGGATTCTCGCTGCTGTTAGCACTAATTGGCAATGATTTGTAACCGTTGCAAACGATGTTTTCCACGATTCTATCATTAATATCGTTAAATAGTTTACGAGTAGTTCCTTCATAACAATGTACAACGAATTTTTCAGTTTACTTCGATGTCATACTTTGTTAAGTTTTATCATGTTGTATCTAATATTTGCAGATAAGATCGCAGAAATCCTTGCCGATTTTTCTTGAATGTTTATTGTCGATACACTTATAAATGTTGACATTTTAAAGTAAACTAGTCTTCTGTAAAATATATACTTTAATATTTATCATTTTATTTCTCTATATATTAAATGTAAATATAACAACACAGTGTATCACGAGGGCGTGATTAAAAACTTTTGTAAACCTTGTCTTAATTTATTACGGTACCGTAACAAATTTATATCACCCGCGAGCATTATTATGTCTATCTATTGCTATATGTCGAATATTGAGACATATTTGTCTTTAACATCTGTAATCACTATTAAAAATACACTAAAATGATTTAATGTAATATAGTAAATAAGAACGTCGATACATCCAGATATATTAAAATACATAATTGCAATACAGGGGAATGTCTTATCCACGTCTTATCATCGGTTAATCGTTTTAAGTTGTAATTATGTCAATGATCATTAGTGAGTGAATGACAAGTAGTGAGAGTACAATGAAGAATTGCATTAAATTTTATCGACTTCAATAATAAAAATGTAAAATTGCCCTTTGGATGATATAACCATTTTTTTATTGAAAACGAGGCAAACGAGCATGCGCCTCATCTGATGGTGATTACTACTTCCAGTGGTCACTTACAACAGCGGGAGAGCCACAACTGAATTGAATTCATTTGAGGGAGGAGTTGGCTCTCTTCTTGAAAGACCCTAAGTCACACCGGTCGCGAAATCGATATTTCGCGACCGTCGACAACTTCCTATGACGATGTTCATTCCAATTGTGTTCTTCAAATAGCCGTGTAATACTAACATATACAGTGCCATCCAACAAACATCTAATTTAGGCATTGCCGATAGCTGATAATGGATTGATTGACAATTTAAACATAAATGTTTGCAGCCAATGCATTTGGCTCATACAGCGCATTACAATAAGGTAACACATATCCATGAATATTCAGTATATAAAGAGGTTACGCTTCTCAGTCTTAAAAACTATTATGTATCAATTAGGCAGGTATAACCACTAGTATTTGTGCCACGAATTTTTTAATCTCACTGTCACAATGAATCGTCTCATCTAACTTCGACCCAGCGGAAAGCGCATTATGTAATGAAGTTTCGATTGAAATTCTTGCTGGGAAATTTGCAAGTATTTTTGGATTATAGCAATTCATTTGCACGATTTTGTTTTTAATCTTGAATTAAATAAAAAAATTGCACAAGGTTATGATTAATTGTTATTTTAGTAATTTTTTGTTGATTTCCGTTTTTTAAATGTAAAGTAACAGCCGTGCCAATATATGATATAACAACACGCCAATGCAGTATATGATATAACAACATATCATATACTGCATTGTAAATTAAAAAAAGTAAACTATCAGCCTATACATATCCCATAGCTGGGCCGAGGCATTTTCTGTACAGAGGTTTTAAGGCATAGTCCGCGACGCCACCCCACTGCGGATTGTCGGGCTTCACACATCTTCGAAAATATTTTTTTCTTATACATATTTTGAAAATATGCAAGTTTCCTCACAATGTTTTCCTGCATCGCTGAGCACGTGATAAGTCAGCACAAAAATTTAACAATTTCAATGGTGCCGGCACTGGTGTACGAACACAGGTTGTTCGAGTATTTTTTTTTTAACGTAATTAACTATTATTTTAGTAATCTATTGTTAACTGCAACGTGTCTCCTACAATAAACTTTTGTTTTCCAGTGCGTTCGTTCATAAATCAATTCAATTTTATCAATACACTGTTTACGCATATGTGTTGGGACGTAGTTCATGATAACACAAAGTTGACCTTGTCGCATCATAGAAGGGTATATTCGCAGACTACATCTCCACTTGTCCTCATTCCCATCTCAATTGACCGTCAATACGAAATGCCGATATAATTATGCCTAATGGTTCTTAATTGGGATAGTTGGTCAGACACGTTTCGTTTCAGTTATTCTTGTGACAGCAAACTAAAACGTAAGGTGAACGTTTTATTCTAAACATATTAATATCGCTTAAAAATAAAGCAACACCATAAGATTATACCTCTAAAGATTTTACTAAATTTATATAGTATTTTCGTGATTCTTTTTGTGCTTTGTGAATATTTTCTTAAATAATTCAAGATATAATCTTGACTTAACCTATCTACTTACTCTTATCTAGCCACGGTTGAACTTAAAAGACTCTGCTGATGTCGTCAGTCCATCTTATCGAGGCTCTAACGCCGCATCTTCCTAGACCTAACTCATCATCATCCTGCCTATTATATAAATACATAGTATACCTTATAATATATACCTAGGCGGTGAGGACACAACATGTGAATCGTGTTGTAATTGGTTTTTGGCTAGGTTTGTACGACAAGCCCGCCTTCTTAACGTTAACTCACCTTGGGAACGAAGACCCAGATCCAGAACAATTATCTGTGGGCCACACAAATGCTAGTCCCGTGTGGAAATCGAACCTACGACCCCTGGCGCCGCAGCAAATGGCTTAGCAACTTCGCCACCGAGTCACTAACGACTGACTTAACACCTATTAATATTATCGAACAATCTTGCAGACGTACTGGGAACAATAAAGCACCAACATGGGGGCGATGTTCCGGAGCGAGGAGATGGCACTTTGCCAACTCTTCATTCAGCCGGAGGCAGCTTACACTTCCGTCTCCGAGCTGGGAGAAGCAGGGTCCGTGCAGTTCAGGGATGTAAGTACCAATAAACAACTAGAATATACAGGATGGCTTTTCTAAAGATGCGCAAATTCACACAGAAGGTTCTTCAGACTCGGTAGTATAATCGTTTATTGAAACAAGAAAAAAAAATTTTTCAAAAAAAAAATTGCCTTTCCATTCCCTAAAAAACACAACTTATTGACAATGCGGTAGTCATTCATAAATGCGTCGTATACTTTTGAAACGAACTTGTCTGCGTGTTATGAATGATCGCGCGTAAAATAAATGAGTTGCCTATAAATCACGCACTTTTTGAGATAAGGATCAAATAAATGTATTTAATTAATTACGAGTGATTTAAAATATTTATTATTTTTATATAACATAATTTATGTCTAGAATTTAATTTATAAAATATGGATAACCTTAGAAAAGCCTCCCTGTAATTTAAACAACTAAAAGAATCCATCAAGCCCTTCAGACTCAGTGTGAGCCAAACAATTATACATAAATACATACATACAAACATACATACATACATACATACATACATACATACATACATACATACATACATACATACATACATGCTCTCGAAAAACATAACCCTCCTTCTGGCGCAGTCGGGTAAAAAGAACATGACGGACAATTATTGCGTCCAATTCGAATTACTGGTTGCATTCCGCATTTGTAAATGTTTGTCAAAATGAATGAGACAAATATTATTTGTTACCGCTGTCTTATAATAAATTATTAATTTTAAAGTAGATGCATTCACTTACGATTTAGCAAGCTTTCAATACATTTTTAAAACATAAAAATCGAAATGTTTTCTACGAGTATATTTAAAAAAAATCATAGCTAAAGTCACTTTCTTTAGAAGAAAGACTTTTTCCAAATTGATTGACGATAATGAGTCACACATTTGATAAAATCATGCATGCACATAGCATAATTATAACAATACAATTAATATGGGGCCGAGATAAAATACCTTTCAAGTAGAGCTTCCAACTGTTTTTTTTAGAAAAATTAGGCATCACTTTTTCAAGTAAAGAAATATAAATTATTAAGAAGTATTTTTAAAAATTTTGTTTATCTCTTCTCTTGTAGACATGCTTCTAGCACACACAGTTTTTTCCTATGCTTAAATTTTTGGAAGCTGTCTTTACATTCACATTTTAAATAAATAGTGAATTTTTATTATAATTAAAATCTAGGAAAACACAGCAGTTCAAATGAAAATATTTGTGTTTACTGGTCCCACAAATATTCTATTGGTTTACAAATTGTCACATAAAAAGAAGTGATAAAATTTTCGTGGTATTAAAATATTTTTGTTAAATCATACCTATATTATTAATCAACAGCAAAAGCTTCTAAGTTGAAAATGTTCTGTTTCAACTTAGACCTATGTATAAAAGTTCAGTCATTTTAGTATTTTTATGCAAAAATATAAAGTATATTTACCAAAAGTAAAGTACGTTATCATAAAGTACTAGCTGCTGCCCGCGACTACGTCTGCGTAGAATAGTCTGAGTCGGCGTAACATAAAGACAGAAAGACAGATATACATAAAAATATGTATATAAATTATAACCTATGTCTTATTCTGATGTATAAGCTATATTGTTGTAAAGTTTCATTAAAATAAATTCCGTAGTATTTGCCTGAAAGATTAACAAACATCCAAGGAAGGAAGTAAGGTTAGTAAGGATGGTTGGCAACCCTACTTCCAAGAATATTCACTTTTAATATTTAAAAAGAGAACACTTAAAGTTATTGCGTTATAAAGGTTTATCTTTGTAGGAGAAGCAAACAAGATGGCATTACTAGGTCACAGTGACACGCTTATCCTGTCGTGTACAGTAAGATTTATTTAACTTACGATTACGATAACAAGGTATCCTTTATGTATTAGCATGATTTGACCGTGCTATTCGTTTCTCGATTTCAATGCCAATGTTTCAATTTTTATGAGCATTGGCACAGGCCAAATAATACTAATTTCAATATGTGTATAACTTTTTAGCTTAGTTTTGGAATCTCGGTTCATAAGTACTCTACTTATAAACGGAGAAAAAAAAATCTGATAGCGTTGTCTGAATCACAGATTATTATTATATATGGCAATGCCGTTTATATCACAGTGGATTATATATAGTATAAACCATATGGCTGCTTACAGTTACATTTATAATAATAATAAAATATCTTTATTCACATAGACGCTTGCGCGTTCTTATGAAACGTCAAAATTTTACAAGAAATTAACACGTTCGTAAGTTACCACCGGTTCGGAAAGCAGTTTCTGTTGAGAAGAAACCGGCAAGAAACTCAACAGTTGCTCTTTTTTAAAAAAATCAGTTTACAATATAATAGTACAGGTACAAAAGTCTTGTTTTAGCCTACGTGAGTATCAACAGTATTAACCCCACACATTGGCATCGTCAAGATATTCGGCAATAGAATAATAGGCTTTAGCCATAAGTTTACTTTTAATTTTTCGTTTAAATTCATCAAGTGGCAGACTTAATATCGACTGTGGGATTTTATTATAGATGCGCACACCTTGCCCCATGAACGACCTGTTTACTTTTTGTAGACGAAACAATGGCGTAGTTAGTTTGTCCTTATTTCTAGTATTTAGTTTATGTCTGTCACTATTCTTTAGATAACTATTAATATTATTTTTAACATACAAAATATTACAATAAATATATTGAGACGCAACAGTGAGTATATTAATCTCTTTAAAAAGGTCTCTGAGTGTATTCCGGGCTCCGATGTTATAGATTGCTCGGACAGCTCTTTTTTGAAGAATAAATATAGAATTTATATCAGATGCACTACTACCCCACAACAAAATGCCGTAAGACAAGATGCTGTGGAAATAACTGAAATAAACAAGTCTGGCAGTGTCGATGTCTGATAGCTGCCTAACCTTCCTAATTGCAAAAACAGCGGAGCTTAACCTGTTCGCAAGAGATGATAGATGGGGACTCCATTGGAGCCTTGAATCCACTGTAATTCCCAAGAATACAGCGGACTCAACAGGATTAAGGGTTACGCTATTTAATGTTAAGCTAAAACTTCGCCTTCTTACGCTGGGAAGGGTAAAAGCAAGGCATTTAGTTTTTTTAGCATTTAACACCATATTATTAACGGTAAACCAGTGGAGGATACGCGAAAGTGCACTATTCACGTCGTCATAATCCGACACGTTTCGGTCAACCTTAAAAATGAGCGATGTGTCGTCAGCAAACAGTACAACATCACATAACTCACTGGCATAAAAGGGGAGATCATTTATATACACTAAAAATAATAATGGACCCAAGATTGATCCTTGTGGGACACCCATTTTCATGGGGGACCCTGTGGAATTTACATCATTTATAGATACTTTTTGAATTCTATTACTAAGGTAATAGAATTCAAATTCAATTCAATCAATTTGCTGCCAAGGGTAAAACTAAACCAAGACGGATCTAGGTTTAGAGTTGGCAGTAAGTCCTTCGGACTCTAAACAGAGGTTTATGACAAACTCACTGAAAACTTTCCATTTTCTTCAATATTGGTTCCGGTAAACAGTTCCGGTAAATAATTTATTTTTATAATAAGAATATAAGATGTTGTACATGTAACTGATCCATATAAAGTGACCGTTTGCGTTATCCTGACTAGCCGAGGACTGATATTAAGGAAAATTAATTCGTATGTAACTACGTACTACACAACAGAACAATTGCTGTGAAACCTCTTCTGGATATCAATAGATTAATGTTTAACACTACTTGTGCAATCTATTTTAAACCAAACCAATGAAAAATGTTTCAAAAACGTAAACCGTATGTTTTTTGCCTGGATTATGTTAAGTTTCGAAAGAAAAGTTTGTGAAAATAAACTAAAATGTTTATAAATGTACTGTATATATGAAAAAAAAGCGGGCGAGGTTATAAGACCAAGAAATTATAAGATTTATCACAAACATTAAAAATTCTTCATTTTAGTTTGTGATGTGATGTGCCCAGTTTTAATTAAATCGTGTGCAGAAGTTTTACCTTTTTTGTCCCTAAATAGGGATAAAAAAGGCCTGCCCTCTTAAACCGTATTAGTGGCTGGAGTTAACACATGAATTATTCATTGTGTCGCGACTCAAATAAATTTAAAACGAACATAAAATTTGAATACTGTAAACGGTATGCACAATGACGGCATATTGCGTGCGGTTTGGATAAAAAGTCTAGTTATTTTACCGTTTCGAAAAATAATTGGTGTTCTTTTTGGTTAAAGTAATAAAATAGCTGCTTATAAACCGTACCTAATATATAAGCATTGTTGTCATGAATAATTGTTATCCCGAACTTAGCTCGCATTTCAAGATCGCTAAACTAGAGTGACGATGTACGCTGTAGTGTTTCAAACGACGTGAATTAAAACAAAATCCAATGCGATGAAATCCCTAAAGTATCGTGTTTGATATTGGCGTAAATACAAAAAATTATATTACTCCACAAACTACGCAAATTTTACTAACTTTAACTAGATAATTAGTAAACATATATAAACATGCATTTTTTTATAAATAAATAAATACATATCATAAATATACAAAACACCCAGACAATATTCTTTCATTAGTGGGGATTGAATTCACAACCTCTGGCGGAAGAGGCGGGTTTACTATCCACTACGCCAATTGAGTCGTCAATATAAAACCGTTAAGTAAACACTGTTTTGATTAAATTTAAAACCAGTTCGTTCGTTCGTCAGTAATCGTACCATAACGAATTGTTTGAAATAATATTAAACTGTTCAATTCTCGAGTCAAGTCCTCTACGTTTTTATCAGTTTAACCGATTTCCGGTTTAACTTAATACATATTTAAGCGTAACTAAAGTATGATAATGTCAAATCGACAGGAAATGAAATCATTAAATTATAGAAATACTTATTACAATGTTTAATTGTACCCATGAGTATTGTAAAATTTGTTCATAAAATCAAGAATTCATTGTCCACGGACTCCATATCACGGGAGAAAAACTTTCATTATGTTTCATCTTATGTCAGATTTATAATATTATCCCGTTTGTCAGTGAAAGTAAAATAACTCGCTCCTGAAGCTTCCTTAACCCTAGAAGCCCAATCTAGGTCATTTTTACCTATAGACAAACAAATATCTGCTTTATCTTTTGCACAGTACTTTCTATCGCCGTGATAGATCGAACCAACTTAGTACCCGCCAAGAGGACACGGGAGCCGGTGGTGTAGTATTGGTAAGTCCCGTCATACTGGAGTTACCAGACTGTTGTAGGTCAATTTGACCTATGTTTAGGCTTTGTGTAACTTTCACTTTTATTTTAAGTTTTTAAAAAGAATTACTTCAAGCGGATTAACGTTGTATTTTATTGACTTACTAACGAATAAATATTATTTTAGTAAAAAGAACAAGATGGTGTCCTCTAGACAGCTGAGAACCGACGAGATAGTTAGCGAAGAGACTGTTCAAAATGAAAATATGCAGTGGCGGATTTATAGTCTGGGCCGCCCTAGGCACCAGCCCATGTAGTAAGTTCCAGCCGCCCCTTTCTCAGAGCCCATCATATATCTTGTAATCATCAGTGAATCTTTTGTTACGATTGGCCGCCCCTAACATTTGGCCGCCCTAGGCCCGGGCCTATTGAGCCTTAGGGCAAATCCGCCAATGAAAATACGTCTATTGAATCGACTACAAATATACCTCAGTCATCATCAAACAGAATCATTGTATTACCACAACGTTCATTGCGCTCAAAGAATAACCATGTTTGGAGTGCCGTAAAAGGTAGATCTAGTGGAGTGGGAGGACTTCTTCAATAAGCGTTTGGAAGCCCCTACTTTGAAGGGTTCAGTGCGGTAAAATATAATGGATATCCTTCAAAATGAGCCGCAACCAGTGCCAGAGGCCCTCCTAGAAGAACCAGAACCGAAAAAGCGTCGTAACTGTCTTATAAAAAACAGCAGAAAATAAAATTTACAGTGCATAAAATGTAAAAAGGCAATATTTCGTGAGCACAATATTGATGTGTTTCACACAATTATAATTAAAAAAATATTATATGAAACTATTTTATTGATATAGAACATTTATTTGTTAGTAGAAAAAATGTTTTGTTTAGTGTTTTTGTTTAATTTTAGTTTAAAAGAAAAAAACCGAAAGGATCTCATTTTGTGCCAAATTTTAGTATTAATTAATCATAGCTGTTATTTCAAAGTCTAATAAATACATATTATTCTAATTATGCTTTTTTTCATTTCCGAAATGATTAATATAAATAAATAATGATATAAAATAATAAATTTAACAGAAAAAGTAAGATATATGTGCATTTACTCACATAGGTTAATTTGACCTATGATTAGGCTTTTTAGACAAAAAAATATGATTGGGCTTCTAGGGTTAATCATAATATGTTTGAAGAATCATAATATGATTGGTGAACACCTTAACCATAATAAAGCACGTCTGAAACACGATATTGCGGCTTAAGTGTAAAGTTCTTCCTAAGCGGTTTTATTTTCCAAGAAGTATCGGCCGCTTGGTTGCGGAACGCGCCGGGCAGCCGCCAGATGGCGCCGCCGCGAAGATCCCACTTGCAACTATCGGGAACGGGTTGCATTGCGTTGACGCAAGACCGCAGCAACTAAGTAGCCTCTCGCTTTCCTTTTCCGTAACGGCTGGCGGCAAATACCTGTAAGCAGGGGAAGGCAACCGACGCAACAGCCCCGGGGCCTCCACAATACAAGCTTCGGAAAAAAATTCAGACTAGTAGACACTAGACAGTAGTAAACAACTTTTCGTTTCATATTTTTTTCGCGTTTTACTTTTACCTACAGTACTTTGTACAAACATATAGAATGAACTTTATACAGAAATGAATAGAAAATAATTTGGGGCCAAGGGGCCTCCACTCCTATGTTGCCCCGAGGCCTCCAGACCTCTAAAACTGGCCCTGCCTGTGAGATGGCTCTTGAACCAAACAACACAAAAAACGGCTACTATACGGAACGAAGAAGGTAGGAGACCTTGAGGAGTCAAAAACAATTTTGATTGTATGGCAAAGCATAGTTTGGATGGGCATGGTAATTCGATTTAACTTTAAGAATTTATTAGTTCTACATAAACATTCTTTAGTATACGGTTTTGTATTGGAAAATACTTCAGAGCTTAAAGAACTTGAACTTGAAACATATAGTCATTCAACGCAATACATAATTGGTATCTCAAAAGTAATTTTTCACCCTGGCTTACAAATTATGAATAATGTTAACTTACATAGCGTTATATACATAAACAAACAGTTTGCCACAAGTTTAGTAATTACAATAGAGGCACTTTTTACGATGCATTTCTGAGTACCTAGGTAATTAAAACAACGATGATTCATTCCAGACAAGTCCTAGGTACCTCAATGAGGTGTCGCTTTACGTATGATGTCAGAACTAAAGATTATTAGATATTAACTATAAAATATTTTTTCTGCATTTTCATAGTTAATAAACAGTCAACTCGTTCGGCATGTGTTATGCGAGCAGTTATGTACAAAACGTTAGACAAGCTTACGTGCAACGCAAACAAAAGTGACAGTTCCACTTTCGAAACAAGGGATCCATTTGACTACACACAGGGGCCGGTTTCGATAGGCTAGCTTCTGTTTTCAAACCCGTTCGAAAACGCGCGAAACGAAAGGCCACCGAGATATTGCTTTGGGAGACTCGAAATTCACAAGGTCGCCCTCTACGTGTCTATGTGTGGGCCACACCCGAAAGATTATGCAACTTTTAAGTCGCAGTATTCATTAGCAATGAACAGCAATGCATATTGTTAATAATCTTGTGGGTGTCTAATATTTTGAAAGATACGCCTTTTCATGAATATTTCTATAAGTACAATTAATTTTTGATCAAAAATTAAAAAAATTGAACTTTTCGTAGTTGTTTCAAGAGATTATTAAAACAATTAAACATAGATGTTGTAGTTTAAAAAATAATAATTTTACCTTTGTTTAATAATGATATTTCTTAAAGGCTTAAAAAAAATCAAATATCTAACTACCTTTGATTATATACTTGTCAAGTATGTAATCAAAATAACTAACCTAACATAACCTAACGAGCAACTCAACTCAAATCAACAAAAAGTATAAAGAAATATTTAAAAAATAACCATAGTTCTTAGTAATTAGTAATATTTGTGTAATTAACACATATAGACATGCGATCATTTTAAAAGTAGGCGGCCATGTAATGCGTTAAACATCGGGCTCCGTATGGCAAATGTTGAATACCTTGTTCGGTCTTATTCTGTTTTCGGGATCAGTTCGTTTAAAATGTTGTTCTTTTTTCAAATAACGAGCAGCATTTGATTGATCAACATTTTTTGAATTTCTCAATCCAATCTGCAATCTGCAAATGAAGAAAAAAAAATTTAAATATAGTTCGAGCACCCGTCCGTCTCCTTAAACGTCCGTTAAAAACACAAATTCATATATAGGAATAAGTGAAATAGATCCAGTAAATCTATATTAGACTTGCTAAAGGCGATAAAAGTAACCTTATACGATAAGATGTTTTTATCAGAATTTATTTATTTATTCTTTACGCACGCAAAATATGTACAAGGCGGACCTGTTGCCATCCGCATTATCTACCAGTTAAAACTTCATATTTTAAAAGTTATCACTATTCAAAACTCTATTCGATTGTTTTCGGACGGAATTAAAGGAGTCCCTGCTCGTAAATGGTACAGCATCCAAGATAAAGCTATATGAAATGGCCGAACTTATAAATATATAAAATATGTAAATGCCCATGATTGCGTTCCAAATTTAAATTCCATATGCCTGCGCATTTATACTTGGGTTGCTTTCCCCGGGGCGATTGGTCCGTGACGGTTTCCTGTCGTTATAACTACAACAACACATTCTATTTTAACGCTCTACACACATGAACCAACACTGTCACGTGATTCTCTCCTGTCGTTCAACTTGTAAGGATTCATATTATCTTAAACGATTTAACCTTCGTAAAACTAACGACACAAACACCTTGTGACAACGGGATGAAACTTATTCTGTAAAACTACCTGTCCAGCAGAATTATCATATATGTACATTCCCTTTGTTCAAATCAGTTGGTGCACAAAGACCATCACCCATCCGTCAGCACTTATCGTCAGGTGTGGAATAGTAGTTAGGAGTAGGACTTCTATTCGTACCTAGACCAGTTTAACAATAAGCAATAAACAAGTTCAGAAAACAATATTTTTATTACTTGTTAATAAAACCAGCCCTTGCATTCGATACCCATATTGGTGAACATATCCCGTATAAAATATATCTCCCCATATAAACCGGTCGGCGCCCATGTAATTAACCAGACTCACTGAACACTACGAACAACTAATATTCCTAACAACACCTAATCGAACACTAAGAACGGCTAACGTTCCTAGACGAACACTATAAACACCAGACAATACCAGTCGAACACTAAGAACACTCAACCTCCGCAGCTGAACCCGGACGTGAACGCGTTCCAAAGGAAGTTCGTGAACGAGGTGCGCCGCTGCGATGAGATGGAGAGGAAACTGCGCTACATCGAGGTGGAGGTCCACAAGGACGGGGTCCACGTGCCGCAGGTCAAGGAGTCGCCCCGCGCCCCCAACCCTAGGGAGATCATCGATCTGGAGGTGAGGGCTTGCTAGGAACAAACACAAGTAAGCTTGTAACGCCAGTTACTAGACTCCATAGAGTAAGTAACTCGTTCATGGGCGGTGTATACGCTTTTACAACAAAATCCCAGTAAATGCGCAAAGCCTCCCTATTAACAGGTTTAAGAAATTTATTAACGAAAAACTTTATAAAAAGGGTTATTATAATACAAATGAATACATTAATGACAATAACCCCTGGGAATGAGTTGATCGCTCCCAAGCTATTTTTAAAAGGAAAAAAAAATCAGTTGTATAATATTTTAATTTTTTTAAGAAAAAAAAATGAATTACAAAATAGAGGATACCTACGGAGTTTCTTTCGCCTGTTTCTTCTCCGCTAGAGGAACCTCATTACGAAACGGTGGTAGATTTAAAAAAAAATATGACTATCGATAGATGAAATGTAAGTTTCTTATGTCGATGAATAAATGATTTTGATTTTGATTTTTTTTCCGCTGCGGTAGACCCATGCTGGTTCTAGTGGTCAAGTGCCTCAGAGTGTTAAGTAGTGTGAGGTACCCAAGCGAGTTGTGTGTAACCTAACGTTAAGTGAACACCGCCGCCCAAAGACATCTGCAACAGCTGTAGACCCGTTGCCAACCTTTTTAAAAAAACCGTTTTGTCAATGTTCTCGCAACAATAGGAATTCTTTATGTGCAGTTATTAAGTTGCACCATGCAATGCAATGCACCATGTAGACGATTGTAAGCATAATCATTGTATCAAGATAAACTAGTATAATAATTAAGTGCCCATTGTACTACGATTATGGAGACGTTAATAGTAGTAATGAAAAAGTTAGAGCCATCTTGTCGCGATATAGTGATCTTCTAAGTCGTATAAGATTTGTGATTGAGATAAAACTTTAATTCTCACGAGGAAATTCTTCAACACATCATATTGTCATTATTTTTATGATTTAAGTTAGTTTTTATTAAGAAGATTAGCATTGAAATGGCGATGGGCCGGCCATATAACTCGTAGAACAGATAACCGATGGGAGGAAGGGTTTTCGAGTGGCAGCTTCGTACTGGCCATTGCAGTGTAGGACGACCCTCCATTAGATGGAGTGACGACCTGTGTAAATGTCCGTTAAGTTAATGGATGAAGGTGGCTAAGGATCGTGCTTTTTGGCAGTGTGTGAGGTAGGCCTATGTTCAACAGTGGACTCAAACAGGCTAAAATTATGATGATTAGGACAGTTTTATTAAATTTCCGGCTAGTTAATATTCTCACAATGTTTAACTACATTGTTTAGGAGTTATATCTGAATGTCTAAACTTAACTTGATCGTCAGGCGCACTTGGAAAAGACGGAGAACGAGATACTGGAGCTTTCGCACAACGCGGTGAACTTGAAGCAGAATTACCTGGAACTGACCGAGCTGAAGCACGTCCTCGAGAAGACTGAGGCGTTCTTCGTAGCCCAAGAGGAGATCGGCATGGATTCCCTGACAAAGTAAGGGCATGAAAACTAGTCTGTTACATTTTTGCATAAGGACAGCGAAAGCTATCAATTCAGATTTTTATTTGAATCCTTTGTAATTAGTGATTACAGATAGTTACATTCGCAAAAGTAATAAACGTTGGTCCTTTTATATAGTGAACCCCCGTCACCATACTCACCAGACGCAAAATAGAAGTTTATTTAACACTTCCACTTCACGCCGGTCTTCTGTGAGGTCGTGGTACCTACTTTCGTCTAGTGGGGCGTAGTCTTAACACTTACAACACAACTTAAAACGTCCTTACAACATAGGATAATGTTATCCTACAGCAAGAGTCAATGTTTTCTAAGGAAAGACTACAATAGATCTAGGTCGATGTGGTCGTTGGAACTTACTACCCAACCCCTTCCAAAATACAAGCATCTGGAGTGGCGACCGGCGTCTTTGCCTTATTTCCCAACGTCTTCCCCTATAGTAAGGACTAATTCGTAGTGTTCTTTGGGACTTCATCCCAGCCCCCGAAAAATAGAAACGTCTGGAGATAACATGTGTGGTTCAGGTCGCTGATATCGGACGAGACGGGCCAGCAAGCGGCGGCGAGGGGCCGGCTCGGCTTCGTGGCGGGCGTGGTCCAGCGCGAGAGGGTGCCCGCCTTCGAGCGGATGCTGTGGCGCATCTCGCGCGGCAACGTCTTCCTGAGGCGCGCCGAGCTGGACAAGCCCCTCGAGGACCCCACTTCCGTGAGTCGTCCCAACGGCTGGACCTTTCCCCGGCAAAAGTGACAGCGCAGGTGCAACGCGGGTTTTTAGTGGGTAACTTCCACATACCCAAGCTGCCCAACCCACAAGGCGGCGGTCCATAAAGCATTTTTCTCACGTTAAAAAGTGGCTCACCTTATGGTGGATCGTCAATAAATGTAATCTTAGAAATAGAAATGATAATAGATTTCTTTAGAACGAACTCGGTGGCCAGTAGGCCAAACTAAGTTCACACACGACCGTTATTAATTCGGGTAGAGCTTCGGCACGCTACAACGGCTGACGAGAAAGTCCCCCGAACACGGCGAGCGCTGTTCCTTTTATAGAACGTTGCCAGTGTGCTACTACTCTCCTATCTTCCAACAGTAAATATATTTCAGGACACATTTTTACACAACGTTCTCTAATTTCAAACTAAGGAACGCTTGTATTATGTGTAGTAGATAACTGATAATACTAAAACATAGTGTTCTTATACGTACATATTATTCTTTTGTAAATAATACCGAGACAGTATTGGGGATCGAGGCACATCCTCAGGCGCAAGAGGAAGGTTCAAGTGGGTACTCCCCTCCGAACAAGGTTCGAGTTGGTACTAAACCAATCGTCGGATCGTCATATGTTCATGGACAAAAGCCGAAGAGTTGCGGCTGCGTTGCCAGTTTTTGAGGCTGTACCCCGGTTACCACACGCGCGAAATTTAACGCAAACGTATATTTATGATTATTTTTTTTATTATTTAAATCTGTAAATAAATGAATCACTAAAGAATAATCGCAAAACCCATAACCGTATTACGTAGGCGATGTGTTCTGTGTGAAACAGTGCATTTGAGCAACTGCTTATTAGCATAGTACGCGTGCGCAGGGCAACGAGATATACAAGACGGTGTTCGTGGCGTTCTTCCAAGGCGAGCAGCTGAAGTCGCGCATCAAGAAGGTGTGCACCGGGTTCCACGCGTCGCTGTACCCGTGCCCGCCCTCCAACGGCGAGCGCCAGGACATGGTCAAGGGCGTGCGCACCAGGCTCGAGGACCTCAACATGGTATGCGCCTAAGCCCACTGCGGAGAAAGTCCCCCGAACACGGCGAGCGCTGTTCCTTTTATAGAACGTTGCAGTGGCTGCGTTGTGGGGGTTCCCCGCGATGTCGATTGCGGGGATTCCCCGCGGTGTGGATTGTGGCGATTACACTCGATGTCGATTGTGGCGATTGCACTCGATGTGGATTGTGGCGATTCCTCCCGAAGTGGATTTTGGGGATTTCGAAATCGAAACTTATATCCAAATACAGGTCTCTTAGACCACAATAGATCTTTGAGGTCGCCATGATCGATGGGACTTACTACCCAACCTCTTCTACTTGAATAAATTAAATCTAGTTATTAGCAATAAGCCTATATTGTAGAGTTTTGTCACAATATGGATTGCGGCGATTCCCTCTCATGTGGTTTGTGGGAATTTCCCACAATGTGGATTCGTCGTATCGAATCTGATATCCAAATATGGGTCTCATAGATCTCTAGGTTGCCGTGATCGTCGGGACTTACTACCTAACCCATTACACCTGAATCAATAAAATATTGGTAATTGGTGGTGATTGTGGTCACTCCCCCAAAGTGCATAGCGGAGATTTCCCCGGTCCGGATTGGAATTTCTCCCATTGTGTATTGTCGAGCCAGGCTTAAAGACGACAGTATAAATAATTATATATCATTTTGCATTAAGAAAAGCCTAAATAACTAAGCATTATCAATACCGAATACTACTATTTTTTTTTCGTTTGTTTCTTTTTCTATTTTCATAATACATTAGAAATTCATAAAAAGATATTTCATTACATTGTCAATTGAAAGAACTGGGCACCAAAAGAGAATCCAAAGACAAAGAATGCACCCTCACCTAATTGATAAGGGTATCAAGGTATCAGGGTATCAAGGTATTGGTAGGGACCAATCGCTAAAACGGTATCGACAGGTGCTGAACCAAACCCGCGACCACAGACAACGCGTCCTGGCCAGCGTGGCCAAGGAGCTGGCCAGCTGGTCCATCATGGTGCGCAAGATGAAGGCCATCTACCACACCCTGAACCTGTTCAACATGGACGTCACCAAGAAGTGCCTCATCGGCGAGTGCTGGGTGCCAACCGCCGACCTGCCAAATGTGCAGAAGGCACTGGCAGATGGATCGGTGAGTACAAACGAATCGTGCAATATTGCTTTGTTTCCAATTGTAATACTTAAGTAGATATCTCGGTGCCGCAGTTGCCAAGCTGTTGGCTTCGGCGCCGGGGATCGTGGGTTCGATTCCCAAAATAAATGGTCCAGGATCTGGGTGTTTATTCCCAAGCAGGGTTGATGTAGATGAGGGCTGGTCGTAAAAACCTAGTCAATACCACTAACATTATAATTAGCATGTTGTGCCGATCCCACATGGGTGGAAAGGCAAGAGGAATGAAAAAATGTATTATTAAAGTAACAGTCTATGCAAACGTTTGTTTGCTAGGTAAAGAATTTCATTGCATATCGAACGTTATTAAATGTATTTTTTTTCTGCCATCAACATTATGTACAAGTTTCAATGAAATCTGAACCTAATTTGTTAAATTGTTTAGGTATCATGGAAATTTGTATTTAATATTTGTATAAATTGGCTATGCAGAGGGGAAACTTCCTCTGCACAGATGGTAATATCTTGAAAATCTTCAATCAAACATATTTAATTAACCATCTTAAATATTTTTATTTTAGCACTATAGTTGTGTGTGAGTTCAATAGCATCATCATCATTTTGAATTTAAAGTACACGAAGCTTTTAATTAAGTTTATTTTTTAAGTTTGATTTCTCTTTTTATGGATTTCCTTTTTTTGTCCACATTGATGCTGAAAACTTTATCGTATTCACTTTTCGCTTAGTTTTTACCTTTTATTTACTGTTTTATCTTTTCACAAATAGTTTTAAGTTCTTTTGTCGTTGAATTTAGGGCTTTGTGGTTTGCACCTATAATTGAGATGGCACGCACCAAGACTGTGCTTGATATATTATGTAACAAAATTAAATAAATATATAAATTATAAGATTAAATGTCATGATGTCTTAAATAAATCAGCGGTGTTTCAAACACTTGGCATTTCCATCTTCGATTTACGGTGAGTTGTTTGTTCCGTCAGAATGCTTGCGGCAGCTCGATCCCCTCGTTCCTGAACTGCATTGAGACCGACGAGGAGCCGCCCACCTTCAACAGGACCAACCGCTTCACGCGCGGCTTCCAGAACCTGATCGACGCGTACGGTGTCGCCTCCTACAGGGAGTGCAACCCAGGTAATTAAAAAATAATATGATATTATAAAAGAACATGAAATCACAAGAAACACGAAATCATAAAAAGAAGTCGAAATTATAAAAAAACACAAGCAACCCAGCTTCGTACCGGTCTACTATCCGTGAAGCTAATACGCCTACAGGAATGACTTATAATCATCGTCACATTTCAGGCATTTTTTCATATAACTACAAGTAATTAATTATACACTTAAATTTTCACATCAATCATTCCCTCTATGAGGGACAAAGTTTTTACAATTTATTCAGTAGTTAATGCGTTTATCGTATTACCTTCAAACAGACAGAGGCGAGGAGGGCTATTTATAATATTTAATGTTATACACACCCATAAACATAAACTTTTAAATCGATAAACAACCATAGACAATTGCTTCGGATCTAGATCTTTATTTTCCATCTGTAAAAGTAAAATACGATTACATATAGAAGAAGAGTAAATAAATAAATATACAATTGAACTATGTTAATAACATAATTCGATAGAATAATGGCTGAACGGTTCAAAAAAGAAGCGAATTACACTCAAACATATATCAAGACGTTAATGCATTATCCTCGAATAAGGGAATTTGAGATGGCTGAAAAAATATTTACACAGGCCTCTGCCAAAAGTAGTTTATTATGCGGAGAGCGAATTCAAATAATGAAAACAAATAGATAATTTTAAGAAACACCAAATGAAAAGTGAATACCTGTAATTTAGTCCTAACTTTCCTGTGTTAGGTAGCGTTAAGAGATAAGGGTATGACAAAAAACATGAACTATATTCTATTCCAATTCAAATTTACGATCTAAAAATCTAGTCAATACCTATTATTAACAATTTAAAGTTTCATCTTGACTGCAAAGACTAACACTAAAATGAAAATTAATCCTAAAATCTTAAGAGCAAAGACGATATTTCTCGTTACATACGTTCACTTTGTATGGTTTTTGTGAGATGTTGCATACTTTAAATGTTGCACGCTAGATGGCACCAACCATTGCTAAAAATGGAACAGAAAGAACTTCGATAGATGTCGAGATTTTCGCATCGTGAGATTTTCGGCCGCTTAGCTTAGTTGGTGATGGAGTGCAGCCAGAAGACGTAGGTTCGAATCCCGCAGCGCCCGAAGTTATCATTTATAAAAAAAAAAAACAAATCATAATTTAAACTAGTCAATACCACCTACCACTAGTTTTCAGTAGAATAAGGGCTAGGTGGGATACGGGCGGGGCACAGAAGTCTTAGATATCTTATAACCTAATTTATATCCGGAAACAATAATTTGGCAGCTTCTTCAAGCAGAATTTTCTAAGCACCTTGCGTCTTGTTCCAGCTTTGTACACGATCATAACATTCCCGTTCCTGTTCGCGGTGATGTTCGGCGACCTGGGCCACGGCCTCATCATGGCCATGTTCGGCGCGTGGATGGTCACCAAGGAGGTGTCCCTCGCCGCTAAGAAGTCGAACAACGAGATCTGGAACATATTCTTCGCGGGCCGCTACATCATTCTTCTCATGGGCTGCTTCTCCATGTACACCGGCCTCGTGTACAACGACATCTTCTCCAAGTCGATGAACATCTTCGGCTCCACCTGGTTCGTGCCATACGACAACGACACCCTGGAGAAGAACGGCGCCCTCACCCTGGACCCCAAGGACTCCTACGTCGACAGGCCCTACTTCATCGGAATCGACCCGATCTGGCAGGTTTGTGGGTTTCTTTTATCTGAGAAGGTAAGCGAGCTGGTGGTTCACCTGATGTTAAGTGATAGCCAGATTCAAATTCAAACATTCAACACAGGAGCATTACACTCATTTGTTGACAGTTAAAGTACTACCACCACTACAACCGCCCATTGACATACTAGACTCGTTGAGGAGAGTTGCGGATGCTTTGCCAACTTTTAATACAGTGGGCTCCGGCTAACTTACTAATCAAACGAAACGCACAAGTATAATACTCTCACTTCACGCTAGTCTAATACGACTAGCAGATGATCAGTGATTTTTACCACCCACGGACTTTAAATTCGCTCCCCCGTTACCTCACTTATTTATTCTTTACTCTGGACTTCTGCAAGATATTTTTATTTATAAGCCGCTTCCTGGGTCTATCACAATATGAACCTAGATATTTTAGTCAATAAAGTGATTTCAATTTAAATAAAGTGAATAAAGTAATATAATAAAAATCCAACCTTTTATTTTGTACGCCAAATAAATAGATATAATAACATTTAGATTCAGCCAATTCAATGTTATGTTTATTCAGCTATTCAGATTTAATGTAACTAATATCAGTGTTGATGGAAACGTTTTTTTTTCAACCAGACCGCTGACAACAAAATCATTTTCCTCAACTCATACAAAATGAAACTGTCCATCATCTTCGGCGTGGTCCACATGATCTTCGGTGTCTGCATGAGCGTTGTCAATTACAAGTAAGTGTTTTCTCGATATTGTCAGCCCGTTATCGGTTAAAGTATGTCTCGAAAATGTGGAACTTACTTTACTTTACTTTAAATGTTGACTTAATAATTGAGACAAAATTGTAAAACTCCAATAGTTTTAAAAATTTTAACACCATAGGGTGTGGACTACTGCCTCTGGTAGTCATCATATAAATTAATTTTTAATTAAATTATAAGTTAAGTTCTGTTAAAACTATCAAAGCTAATTTTTAATACAACATTAATTTTAAATAGTTATGTTATAATTCTTTTGTTTTTCATATTAAGCAATATCAAACACTTGTATGATAAATCGTTATAGTAATAAACATTTTCTCCTTTGTCAGTTTCTTCAAGCGCCGCTACTCCATCTTCCTCGAATTCATTCCTCAAGTCGTTTTCTTGTGCCTGTTGTTCCTCTACATGGTCTTCATGATGTTCTACAAGTGGGTCGCCTACAGCACAATGTCCGAAGGTATGTTAAACAATCAATCTAATACATATAAGAAATAAGCTTGCTGTTTTTTTCTGTAACCTCAATATTGTTTGCATATTTTAAAGGTATCAAATCAATAAAGGATATCACATTTTACTAATGATAAATCCGTAAAAATTGCTTCATTTTCTCCCTTACCTTTCGTCGAGGAAACGAAAACATTTTTAGCCATGTTATTGAGTTTAATTTCATTGAAGTTATTTCGGGTTAGCTGTGATTGATTGCAAATATTAATCAAATGCGATAAGCTCCTTGAAAGTGGTCTATTGATGTGCACAGGTCGTCTATATACAAATGAATAACGAGTTCGTTGTGAATGGCCAGATCAAGCGTACAGCCAGGGCTGCGCGCCGTCCGTGCTGATCCTGTTCATCAACATGATGCTGTTCTCGAGCAACGAGCCGGAGCCGGGCTGCAAGGAGTTCATGTTCGAGGGCCAGGGCACCATCCAGCGCGTGTTCGTGCTGGTCGCGCTCTGCTGCATCCCCGTCATGCTGCTGGGCAAGCCGCTCTACCTACTCGCCGCCGGCAAGAAGAAGCACGCCAAGGTACACCCTGGTTCCAATGTTCAAAAGTAGCACGCCAAGGTATACCCTGGTTCCAGTGTTTAAAAAGGAATTCCCCAAGGTATACCCTGGTTTCAGTGTTAAAAATAAGCACCAAGGTATCCAAACACTGCTCCAATGTGCTGACTCCGTAGCGTAGTTTCCAAGGCATTGGCTTCGGCGCATAGGTCGTAGGTTCGATTCACATTGCTTGGCAACTCCCCCACCGAGTCATTTAAGGGTCTTATGTACAGATGGTAACAGGTTATAGTCCGCCACGCGAATTCACTGCAGATTGGCGGACTTCACGTTTCTCCGAAACAATTTCTTCACTAGTAATAATTTCTTCTAGTTCACCGCTGATCACGTGATAAGTCGGCACTTGGAATTGCCACAAGCGATTTCATTGGGTACGGCGGCGGGATTTGAACTCGGATCGCTCCAGTAGATAAACCGGCGTCAAGTGGAAGTATAATACTTTCGCGTTTTGTGTGGTGATTTTCAAAAGGTTGTCAACGCATCTGCAACCCTCGGGTGTAGCAGATGTCCATGGGCTCTTTCACACACAAAAAAAGGTGTAATTAAGTAGAATCAATGAGAGCGGCCGTTCCAGGCGGAGCAGTCGAACGGCAGCGTGGGCCAGGGCATCGAGCTGCAGGAGCAGACCGACCTGGAGGGGGCGCCCCCGGCCAAGGCCGCGCCCCACGACCACGAGGAGGAGCCCTTCAGCGAGATCATGATCCACCAGGCCATCCACACCATCGAGTACGTGCTCAGCACCATTTCGCACACCGCCTCCTACCTCCGGCTGTGGGCCCTGTCGCTCGCTCACGCAGGTAAATCTATTCATCAATCACGTCCACTCACGATAATGTAAATCATCGAGTAATTCTAGTGTCTGGATGTCTAGATATCACAATTTGTACATATACAAAACATAATTTGTACTTTACAATTTTTTAAAAAAAGGAATGAAAAGTTTTTCGCCGCTGTGAGAATCGAACCCACGTCTTCGGGATTTGCGCCCTGATGATGCTCTACCTACTAATCTAAACGGCTGATTGCCGTCTTACTAACAATTTCGAATATCCATAGTACAAGTTAGTAGTACTTAGTTTGGGACTAGATAAACTTTGTTTAAAAATGTCCCCGAAATATTTATTTATTTCTTTACAATTAACACAAGCTCACAACTTCTAGCAAATTGCTACAAGATCCTTCTTGTATACGAAGAGCTCTATAAGATTTTTAGGCTTATCTATAGGATATATAGTATGGTTAGGGCTACGATATGTCTGGCCTATGAGACGGCCGGCTTCAATATTCAATCTACAGATAGATTTGGGTATTACCGATAGGTATTTGACATTGGTCATAATACTTACGTCAGTTCTGTTTCCAGTAACCAAATATATCTGTAGTTAGAATATTGAAACTGGCCGTGAAAGAATCCTTCAGGGGAAGGTGATGAAGGTCTCGGCCTAAATAGAATATAACTGGAATCCAGAATGTAGGGGAGGCATGTAAATCCCAGATTTACTTCTTCAAGACGCATTGAAAGTAGCCACTGAGATTGTTTTAGTGACCAGAAATGCCAGTGTTGAATGGCATTTCAGGAATGCAAATTTAAATAAGACTCGTATTTCCAGGGTGGAGTTCATGAGCAAATTCTACGCGGGCCTCGGCTACATCTTCCAGCCCTTCTGCTTCAAAACGATCCTCGAACAAGAGGACGATGAATGAGAACGTAATATAAATCTTCAAACGTAGTATAGTTCGCGACAGTATTAATGTGTATGCGAAGATCCTCGATAAAGAAAGTCACAAGTAAATAGCCTTGAACGAAATATATTTGAACATCTATTACGCAGTTGTTTCATTTCAATATCAATCTAGAGTTGATGACATTTAAATTAAGTTTTAAATTAAAAAAGATTAACGCTCGAATACAGATAACATTATCCTGTGTTTCGTTAGGTCGTTTTTTACCAAACTTGAATTTCACGCGGACAAACACCCAGATGCTTGAAATTTAAAAAATCTTGTATTTTCTTGGGATAACATACAAAAACTAGTTGTCACCGTGAAACAACTATCTGGGGTCATACAAATTCGATTCGATCCGATTGGCAATTACGCCGCGGAGTAATCAAAACTGCTACAATACTTGTTACTGCAACATACCGTTGAGTGGTGTCATGTGCATGGCCTACGACGTACAATAGTCCATAAAGTAAAATTATAATCGTTCGAGGTATATGTACATTTTTACTATTGTTATGAGCGATTGTTGTGTACGTCTGTCCGTGTTGTGTCGGTTACACCTTTTCTACGTCCGCAAATTGGCCTTTGCCTTGTCCATTATCTCCTTCCTTATTTTGGGATATTCCGGGTGCACTTTGAGAATGTGCCTTGAGACGATGATGCATTCCGGGTACTTCTTGAGCTTGAGGTACGCGTGGGCCAGTTTGTAGCCAACTGCGAGGTCCGTTTTGCCACTGTGTGTCCAAGCGTTGTCGTAATTGTGCGCAGCGCTCTTGTAGTTCTGCTCTTTCTCCGCAATATACCCTTGAACAGAATGTGGTTAAAGTAAAGTAACAGCCTACACAAGCCTGTAATCATCATAACTTTACTTAAATAAACAACACGCGCTGTATTTCATATTCTGCTTACTATTTACATTGTAAATCTCGAAGTTAATTTACAGTAATCACACGTGTAATAACTTTTATTTATATATAAACTTTCTTTTAATTTTTGGTAAAATACCATGACGAAAAAAAACTTTCTTGTAAGCTTCTACAGATATAAAATAAAATTAGTAAAGTAACAGTTTTATATGACCCACTGCTAGGGCAAAGGCTTTCTCTGTACTGAGGGTATTAGGGCGTAATAGGGCTTTTAGAAGTTATAGCCGAGTGATAATTTCGACGTGTTCCCATCGTCGAAATATATAAAACTCGAATAAACATAAGCTTATCGTATTTTTCATACGTTATCGGTAATTTCGATTTATGTTCCATTTTTACGTTACTCTGACTTATTAAATGATTATTTGGTAAATCCAAAGTCGATCAGTCGTCTGTTTCTTTCATAGTTTTGTTTGTGTTAAATTACCTAAATATTGGTAGGCGGTGGCGCACGAGTTGTTGTGATTCAAAATCTTAGTGAGCAATTCCTTCGCCGCGTCCAGCCTGCTCGAGTTGACTTGCCCTTCTGCTACTTCCAACCAGCATCTGAAATTGTAACGCAATCATTGAGGTTTCACAGCCTGGAAGGCGCAGGTTGTTTTTTAAACATTACCCTTACTTCAGGATAACATTATTCTGTTGTTAGGTCGTTTTACAAACATAAACTTCACGCTGTCAAACACCTAGATACAAAACAAATATACAGCGTGTCGTTACCATCGCGACAATAAATGAACACACGTCTAACGCTACTTGCCAATGATCATAAAAAAGTATTAACGTTAAACAAAATCAATAATTTAAAAAAATATATATTTTTCAAACAAATTAATTAAGTAAAAAAAAAATCAAAATTTGTAACATCCTATACAACTCGCGCCACACCGTCACATTACAAACCTCTCCTTCTAACAGTATGTTTTGTCTCTTTTAAATTCATTCAACCCATTCATATGCTATGTGACCTTTACAAATGAACTTTACGTTACAGTTTTATACGTAAGGTGATCTAAAACTCTTTGTTTTGGAAAATTTAATAACTCGGTAAATATTGATGTCTAAAGAATGTAAATTTTTAATACAATTTTAAAAAGCTATCCTCTATATGTGTGTTCATTTATTGTCGCGGTGGTAACGACACGCTGTATGTGGGTCGCAAAAATATTTGTTCCGTTGTGAGGATCGAACCCACGACACCCGAAGCCGAAGCATTGGTTTCGGCGACGGGGTTATGGGTTCCATTCCCACACTGGATAAGTATTTGTGGGACCTACGGATAATTAATCTGGGTGTTTGATTCTAAGGCGGGTCGACTTCAGGCAAGCGGCCTGTCGTAGAATAAAACCTTGTCAGTAACATTACCAAATGACTCACGTATTGTGCCGATCCTACCTAAGTAGTATAAGGGCAGGAGAAAGGAGAATTATACCTTTCCAGGCCATCTGCTTTCTCCGGTGTCCATGGTATAGAAGCGATTGTTCGTTTCAAGATATTCTTCGCACGGGTCGGTTGCTTGGTGATGTTGTAACTGAAACAATTTTTACACTCAGATCTGTAGGAGATAACTGTAGGATGTTTTTGTTGCCCTTTACCTTAAAAGTGCATTCGAACGAAAAGACAAAGACCAACGAAACGTAACCATATTCAAAAACTAAAAATTTAACATTCTAAAGAACTTCAGGTCTATAATACATCAGCTGTAGCTAAGAGCGTCTAAGACCCTACTATGTACGACGTAGATGTCCATATCCTTTCTTCTAATTCTTCCTTCCTCTAAATAAGCACGTCACCATTAGAATTAGCCATTCAAAGAAACTCACGCGTTCGCGATTGCGAGGATCAAATACGGGTCGTCCTGGTTACCGTCCTCGGCAGCGAGCGGCAACAGTTCCTGCAGGACCCTCTCGGCTTGAGACTTCTGTTTATTCGCGAGCTGCAGTAACGCTTGCAGCGACCTCTTCTCGGCCGGCTCCACCTCGCTGAGCAACTTCTCCGCTGTCTTCAGGGCCAGCAACCTCGTGTCCCTGCGATGAAAAGTATCCAAGGTTGGTGTGGAAATTCTTCGCATAAATAATACCCAATGTTCAATGTCTCACAATGGTGACCGGTACGTGGTACAAAGTCTTGTAAGAACGCTGCTACGGGCTTACGGGGGCGCCCGCAAACAGCCCACCGATGCCGAGCGAGAGTGAGCGTACTCGGTGTGGAAAATGAGTGAGCTACTGACGATTGCTCGGCGTGGGAAATTAGCGAGCTATTTAAGCGTGAGAGCCGTGATAGCTCAGCGTCCGGGCGCTCGCCTTTAATTCAATATACTCGACCAAACTGAGTTCGATCCCCGGTGCCGGCAGCAACGAAATAGTTAATTTTAAGTGCCGAATTATCACGTGTTCAGCTGCGAAGGGAAACATCGTGAGGAACACTGCATATTTTCGAAATAATAGCAAAAACAATATTTCGAAGATATGCGAAGTCCGCCAATCCGCAGTGGGGCCGCGTGGACTATGCCCTGATACCCTCTGTACAGAGGAGGCCTTTGCCCAGCAGTGGGACATGTATAGGCTGATAATTTATTTTTACGGGTGCTCGGCTTGGAAAATGGGCACGAGCTACTTACGAGTGCTCAGCGAGGGCGTCGGGCGCGTGCTGCGAGAGGCAGAGCAGCGCCATGCGACGCGCTGCGCTTCGGCCCCACAGCGGCGAGCGGCGCGCCACGTTCAGCTGCCGCAGCGCTGCGTTCACCTTTCCCGAGTACAGTGAGCAGAGGCCCGCGCAGTAGTTGTAACCTGGCAGTGATACCGCCAAAGTTCGAATCTCAGTCGCGTGCACCGATTAGTTATCTTATAATATATTTTACTGCATACGCACAGGCATTCGTCCGCAGTGTACGAGCTTTTTGAAACGTTACATCAGTAATCATTGTTAACTTGTTAGTTAAGATTATATTGAGCTTGTATCGTGAAAACATCGGAAACCCACCTCGACTAAATTGCACATGAAAATTGAGCTTTACCCAAAGACTTAAAACAGGCAAGGTAAGCTGCGTTATTCTCTCTCACGTTAATTACCTCAAACAGCAAAATAAGAAGTCTTAAAAAATAGTGTTACCGCACAAAATAGTAAACAAATATCATTTGTCTCGCCACAGTTCGAGTCAAAATAGATTGGAAGAACGACATCTATTTGCAATATATAAAATAAACACTTGAATGAAGAATAAGTATACAGCGTGTCGTTACCATGGCGACAATAAATGAACACGCATATAGGGGATAACTTTTTAAAGTTGTATTAAACATTTAAACTCTTTAAACATAAATATTTACAGAGTTATTAAATTTTCCAAAACAAAGAATTTTAGAACACCCGTACCTATAAAAGCGTAACGTAAAGTGCATTTGTAAAGGTGACAAAGCATATGAATGGGTTGGATGAATTTAAAAGAGACAAAACATACTGTTACATGGAGAGGCTTGTAATACGACGCTGTGACGCGAGTTGTATAGGATGTTACAAATTTTGTTTCTTTTTTACTTAATTAGTTTGTTTGAAAAATATTTTTTTTTAATTATGGATTTTGTTTAACGTTAATATTTTTTTATGATTATTGGCAAGTAGCGTTAGACGTCTGTTAATTTATTGTCGCGGTGGTAACGACACGCTGTATAAGTAATGAACTTCGTCGACACTTCGTAGCTGAACGGTTAAACTACGAGACCGTTCGTCGACGTAATAATTATTACCTGGGTCTTCGAGGTTCTCCAGGGATTCCTTGGCCGTGTCCAGGGCCTGCTCCGCTTCCGCCAGCTTGCCGCGCCGCCACTGGACCTCGATCAGTTGCGCCAGCGCCTCCCAGCTAGTCGGCTTCACGGACAATATTTGGCTCAGATGCCGCTGCGCCGTTTCAAAGTCGACCTGAAGTCAATCGATCGATTTCATTTTTTTCGGAGTGAAGAAAAAACAAACAATTTTGCAACAGGAAGAGGCTACAAGTGAAGTTCGTAGTTCGCTTGATGGAATAAGAGAGGGATTACAACAACCGGGGTTTTGGTTGCGTACTCAAAATCGCGTTGTTTAGAGGATTACCTTCCGAAAAGCCAGATCCGCCATCATGACCGCAGCTGACTCGTTGTTTGGATCAGTGTTCAATAGAACGGCACAAGTCTGTTCGCATCGTTCAGGGTTGTTCATCTGATAAAAAAAAAAAACAAAAACGGTTCAGTCCATTTAGTTTAGAAACTACGATGCACAGTCGTACGTCGGAGGTTAAATCTATACATACAGTACAGATAAATAAAATTGGAGTGTCTGTTTGTTATATTAAAATGACCGCTTTGTACTAAATGCATATGGATGTATACGCGGTACATATCTATACAGATAAATAAAACTGGAGTGTCTGTTTGTAATATTAAAATAACCATTTTTTACGAAATGTATATTGTAATGTATGTACACGGTACATATACCAAAATAACATTTTTTACAATTTATTTCTGTCTGTCTGTCAGTTTGTTCCGGCTAATCTCTGAAACGGTTGGACCGATTTGGACGGGACTTTCACTGGTAGATAGCTGATGTAATAAGGAGTAACTTAGGCTAATTTGATTTTAGATATTTTCTTTTAAATTCCACGCGTCACTTCTAGTATTATACAAATTTTATAATAAATCAACTCACGTGCGCGTACAGCTTTGCCAGCGACAGCAAAATGTCGGCGTCCCTCGGAGAGTGTATCAGGGCCTCGGAGTATAAACTCGCTGCGACGCCCGGCTCCTTTGAGGACTTGGCCTTCGCTAGCGAGCAAAGTATGCTCGCCAAGCGTTGCCGCTCTTCTTGAAGGTCGCCCCTCGAGTCTATCTCCGTCCTCTTCACGATCGACATCTGCAGGTCCTTTGCTTCAGCGAGGATCAGGGCGGTGTTGCCAGCGTTAGGGTCCTTCAATTCGCGCCCTTTCGCCTGCGTCAGCAGCAGCCGTATGCGCCGCCTCAGAGACGCGACATCCTTCTCCTTGTTGCGAAGCTGGTTCAGCTCGCTCGATATGGTCGCGTCGACCTTGTCGTACTTCTTGAGCTGACGTGTAAAGCATCGGACACGGAATAAATTTCGCAACTGATCCAAGTTTTTGTTTAAATAATTGTTAATATGGTCAATACATATTAATATTTCAAATTATTAAATTTGTATTGACAAATACAAAGTCGATTTCTAGGGCTGTGCACAACAGCCCTGTAGTCGCGGGCTTATAGAATAGGGCTAAGGTATTGCCCTATTCTATAAGCCCGCGACTGTCGTAAAAGGCGACTAAAAGGGAACACGGATTGGAAGCAGCTCGAAGTGGTCTCGAGCTGCTGTAAGATGGTGAGGGAATCGGGGAAGGTCTACCCTTCTCCGAGGAGTGCTCACGCACAGTACTGAGGGTCACCGGTGCGTTCCGTGGGAGATCCCGGAGTCCCTCCAAACGTACAGAGGGTGGTCACCGAGGGGGTTTTAGTGGGTGAGAACCCCACACAACCCTGTCATATTTAGGTGACAGGATATCTTGTAAAAATTCCCCCCCCCCCCCCCGATACCAAAAAAAAATATGGCTGTGCACAAGAAGTATTAAAAGTGCAGACTATCTTTTTTATTTTTATGTGAGAATGTGGCAAACGAACTTGCGGTTCACCTAATGTTAATGATAACCGCCGCCCATTGACATTTGCAACACCTTTATGGTAAAGTGGGCCCCGGCTACCTCACACACGAGACGAAACGCGGAACTATAATATTACCACTTCACGCTGTGCGTTCTTTGTGGTCACGGTACTTAGTCGGTCGGCCCTGCACATTCCTGCAACAACGGCGTGGCCCTAGCGCAGTTAAAATTAAGAATTAAAGATAATAAGATGTTTTCTTGTTATTTGTATAAAACTAATGTTTAATCGTATATAACTCATATATCTTATTTTTGTGTCATCTTATTTTACAATTACAAATATTTTTTTGTTTTTTTTTACAATTGGATAGTAAATTCTTAATTAAAATCAGTGAGAGTTTGTTACCTGATTAACTCACCTTTATAAGGAGCTCGAGATATTCGAAGTTCATTTCTTCGTTATTTAACATTTGGCACGAGTTCTCGTAATGTTGTATCGCTCTGTCGTAGTCATGCATTTTGACGAGCGCCGTGCCCAATTTTCGAAGTAGCTGCATGTCTTTAGGGTTTCCTTTTAACGCCATTTCATACGAATCCACAGCTTGCATTGGTTCTAGATAAAATAGGTTAGCAAACTGACATGTGTTAAAGTTTTTTATAGTGCTAATCTCTGCACTTAAGATTGAACATTAGTGGCTAGAGCGTCAGGCCGCGAGTGCCGAAGACGTAAGTTCGATTCCCACAACGGCGACAATCTTTTCGTATTTTTCTACATGTTTTAATGTTCAATCTTAAGTGCAGAGATTAGCACTATAAAAAACTTTAACATTTATAAAACGCAATGGCGATATATCTCGTTGGAATTATCGTTGTAAAACGATATTCGAAATTGTTTGTTATAACAATAGTTGCGCCAAGCATTGCTTCAAATGCTAAAATAACAATGTAGAAAGAACGCGTTAAGATTTTCGTCCGCTGTGGCTATCAGCCGTTTAGCTCAGTGGCTAGAGCGTCAGGCCGTGAATGCCGAAGACGTGGGTTCGATTCCCACAGCGGCGACAATCTTTTTGTACTTTTTTTTCTACATGTTTTAAAAAACCTGACATGTGTTTTTTGGTGGATATTTGAGAAAAAAGGGAAACTAGACTGGGGAATCAGTTTTCATATGAAAATGTCACCTTTTAAAAAGGCTTCACGGAATCTAGTTTACTGTGAATAATGTGCACAGGAAGAATATAAGATATAGACGAAAAATAATAAACATGAAACTGTAGACCATCCGTTTCCGGAATAATAAGACCTGAATATTTATAACGAATCTAATATAAGCGCAAATCTTTAACGAACTTTAGTCATTGCACAGTATACACTGCAGACAACTTACTAACACACGACCACTCTGACGCATTTTTAAATTTTATATCATTAAAAATAAATTTATCTGCTCTGCTACCGGTGTTGGGTACTTCAGTCTTTACAATGGTGTTAACAAAACTTGTATTTTTAACCTTACATTTTTGTGACTTTACAAAAAATCAGGATTTTTTTGGAGAAGATTGCAAAACGAGTAAATTTTACTACGTATAAAAGGGACGTTGCCGGTAAATATCTAAATAAAGCCAATAAATAACAGGCAATCATGTGTTTTCTACATATTTTAATTTAACTTACCATGTATCGACATATATGCATCCCCCATCATCGTATGCGCGTCGGCCATGGGGTGATTGCTAACGATCTCCTTAAAACAAGCGGTGAACTTGGCTCTATCCCTCTTCTCCTTTAAATAGATGTGGGCCATTTTGCTGTGAGCTTGAAAGTAGTAAGGCTGCCCTGGCTTGACTTCGTTCAATATATCGATTGCATTGTCTACATCACCCTTCTTCAGGGCCAATGCAGCGCGAGCGATAAGCAACCGACCTTCCTCCGAGGTGTACGCTATTTCCTGTATCGCTTCCTGAAACAAAAATAAATGATTCAATTGACTGCAGTGCAATTGACAAATTTTAATGAAACACAATCACTAAATTAAAAGGAAATTAATAAAGAATAAAGAATGAAAAATAGTCACCTGAATAGTCTTCTCTGCTTCACCAAACTGACTTAAGGTTGTTTGCACTTCTATGATTTGCAGATAAAGTGATGCTTTGTCTATTACATTTAAGTCAGATTCATATGAACGGTTCACACTGCTGACAATAGTCTTACTTGTGAGTATTTGGAGACTGGTTGTATAACTTGAAAGAGCATCTTGAAGTTGATTGTAGTTTTTTAAAATGATCCCATTGAGGAAATGGTACATTGAGCTGTCTCTTACTTTAAAATTGTAACTTAAGCACATTTCTAGATATTGTGCGGCTTTGGTATACTCTTGCTGTTGTATAAAAATCTGAGCTAATAGTACTTGGCTACCTGCGTGCGTGTTGTCCAAGTCGACAATCTGTAGGGCCAATTTTTGCGCGTCTTGGGCATATCCAAATAAGAATTTTAGTTTAGCTAACTCAAACAATGCAGGAATCAGACCCGGACATGCATGACATATTGTGTCCAAAAGTTTGAAACAATTTGTCATTATAACACTGTTCTCTTCCTGTGAATATAACAAGTAGCTGATAATAACAAATGGTTTTTTGGGTAAATGTTTTTTGTACTCTTTGTAAATTTGAAGCAAGAAATCAGGATCAAGGTTTTTAATATATATCAAACTTAAAGGTTGTTGATTTGCAATTGCAATTTGAGCAGTGAAAGCTTCATTGAGTAATGACAATACATTAGAATTTTTGCTATTTAATTGAGCAGCTAGCAAGTATAGAATTGGTATTTTTTCATTGCCTTGCATTTCAAACAATAATTCTATCTGCTGTGCAATCTGATCTGTTGGGCCATTTTCAAACATTTGACAAAGGGTTAAGCCACAGAGTGTAGTGATAGAGTTACTGTCGATTTTGCTAGCAGCTTTAAAAAAGTTTTGAGAATCCTTAAATTTAGCCTGCAGTATGCATTGGTATCCAACCTCACTGAGATATTCAACATTATTAGGGTACATTTCCGAAGCATACTGGGCAAATCTGTAAACTTGAGAGAGTACAGCACTAGATCTACCACATATTCTTGAAAATATTTGTGCTGTAATAAAGAATTGGTAGCCATTTTGTGTTTCTTCGCTTTCCAGTATTGTAAAGAATCTATTTAGCTGATCGACTGCTTCAATGTAATCGGAATCTTTACAAAGTGCTATAAACACTCTAATTTTAAGAGCTTCAGTGTTATCAGGCTCTTGATTTAAAATTCTTTCCATTGTATCATATACCGCATCCCATTTTTGCATAGCAAATTCATTCCTTAATTTGTCAACAAGTGGCACTATTTGGCCAGGGCTACTTACAATGAGTCTATCTAAAATTAAGTTTGACGCTTCATGGTTTTTAGCAAGATATTTAAATTTGGCCATACCAAGCAAAGCTGCAACATTTTTATCGCTTTTATTAAAAGTTATTTCAAAAGAATCTAAGGTGGATGTTTGAAGTTTACCTATATTCATATACATGTCATTGTAAGCTTTTAAAATAATAGTATCAGTGTTGTTAGAATCTTTTCTCAGTGACTTATTTATATAATCTGAGGCCTTTTCATATTTCTCAGCGAGTGATAAAAACAGTCCGGCAAAGTATAGTGATACAGCATTGGCTTGCTTTCTTTCTTCTTTAAGTTTTGATTCTAAATTGTACAAGTTATCTTTTTCTATTGTGTTAATAAATTTGTAACTGTAAATGATGGCTATTAAGGCTCCAAGTTGTAAATTTTTGTCAGACTGTATGGGAGTGAGTTCATTTATTCCCTTTTGAGCTTGGCCTTCGAGCACATTTGCAATACCATGATAAAACATGATTTCAGTAGAATCTGTATACTGTGATAAGGCTTTTTTTATAATTTTTTTTACTTTTCCAAAGCATTTTTCTCGTAAATAGTAATGGACATTGCAGCGGCACCATATAAGATCCATGATCATGCAAAAAGTTTCAAATTAGTCCAGTTGAAATGTGATCTTGAGTCCTTTATAATTATTTATATTATCGTTGTAGTATTTAGCCAAGAAATGACAATGACATGTTACTTCTAAACTATTTTCCAAGGCATAGTCAAATGCATACTGTTAAGAAAAAAGAAAAACTATTTAATAACATTAACCATAACTTAATCAAATTAAACATTAAATAATTAGCAATGTTCAAAGACAATAAAATATGTGTTATGATTAATTCTAGAGTTGATTGAATAGTTCCAATTTTTTATATTTACAATAAAATTTGGTGGTGACATTTTAAAGTGGTACCTTATGAGCCTATATATATAATTTTTATTAAATTTTGACGATTCAAAAGAACGCGTCCATTTGAATAAAGTCAAATTTAATTTGATTTGATTTGAAAGGAACTTTTTCAGGGTTATTAGACAAACTGACATGAAATATGACTATACTTAATGAGTATGAAGAAAATCACAAGCAAATTATTATATTCAAATGAAATAATTTATTGTTTTATAAGACTGACCTTTGCTAATATTTTTCCAACTCCTTTTCCTTGAAATTCTTGCGGTACGTTGGTATGTAGTAAAGTAATTGCTTTTCCTTTTTTCTCATAATCAATTATAGCTTCTGCTATATAGAAAGGAAAGATTTAAATGGGGCAATAAAACATACATCAAGGGTTAACTATATAAACTTAAGTCTTAAAGGCAGAATAACACTACTATTATTAAAAATCAACAATGTTTATACCGTTTTGAAGAGTCACTACAAACTGTTGCCTAGCAACATTGTTGACTACCCTTAAAGCCACAGTAGAAAATGATCTTAGGCGGGTTAACATTCCAGACGAACTACTAAAAGCGAATATAAGAAATGTAATGAAATTATTGATTGTGCACTTAAACACGATTACAATTTACAACTAAATGCAATTTATAACGAATGCTAAATTGTCAATGTCAATTGTCACCTGCGTTCTTAACGATACAAAATTATTTAATTTCAGGAAAATTGTACAAAGTATAATAATTTAAAACTTAAGACACGTATTTTGAAGTTATAATTCTTTTGGCGCATTTGGAAAAACATATGAAAAGAGAGTAAGTAATAATTTTATGATGTGCGCGCACATCAACATAAAATAAAACCGGCCAAGTTGAAGTCAGATCAACCGGACTTGAAGTCAGATCTCTAAAGGAAACTGCACCACATTTGGACTCCAAGTTGGAACCGTCTAATAATACACCTGAACAGGTTCTCTTTACTTTGGGTGACTTTCGTCCAAAGTCTAAACCCTTTTCTCGACAATGTATCTCTGCATATTCCTCCAAAGTTTGAAAAATTCTAACCCATTTATTGTTTTGTTAAAACCAAAAGTTTTTGTATAAATATCTTCTTTGTTTTCGAATGTACGTTATTCCTTTTAAAATTTGGCAACACGTCCAAGTGACTAAGTGTAAAATTTCTTTTATTTTCAGTACCTATATATGTCTTATTTATGTTTTCAACCGATCACCGATGACATGCGCAATTATTATACAGGTTAGAAAAATACAAACAAAATGTTTTTTATGCTTATTCTAAGCACTTAATCGTAAAATTGTAAATTATAATTGTTTTTCTACTAAATGAATTCATATGAAGTATAAATAATAATCTGGTGGATGGTCTTATTCACTTTTTAAATGTATGTATCTCGTCATGCACACTGCCAAGTAGTTACCTACCTTACAGTTTTATGTTTATTTAGGATGCTGTTTTTTAGATAAAACAGATGCATGTACTTTCGAAAGTTAGAAAAATACTTGCTTTGATGCCAGAACCCAATCAATCATCAAGTGATGAAGCAAGTTCGCAAATTGTGAATTTGACAATGTTTCTCTTCAAAAGCATGTCAATAATAAATCTTCAGATCCTTCACTTCTATCTTCGCTTGAAAATCTTCACATACCTACCTTATGACGAAAAGTGTAATCTTGCCGCACAAACAATAAGAAATTAAAAAAAGGGCACTTCGGGACCAGCACAACCACGTATTGAAACCAATTCTGTTTCAAAAAGGCCCATAATTGAAAAAATACATAACAATTTTTTGAAAGTCCCTCATTGATGCACTGATGTTGCCGTATAAGAGTAAAAGGTGGGTGCCTAATCGTAAAGAATACATCAAAAGCAAGCCCCGTCAATGGGTACCCCCATTAACGGGGCTTGCTTTTGATGTATTCTTTGTTAGAGCTTGTTTCGGGTTTCATCTACGATATTGTCTTATACGGTGGTGAATATCCGATATCACAAATTTACCGCAAAAAAAATGTGTTTGGACTTGGGTGCAGAGGTTTTCTTATCACTGTGTAAAACTGTTCTTGATTGATTGATATATTTTTTACCAACCTGGAGCTTATTCATATGCTTCGAAATAAAATGGGAATATTCTCGTTGGGTACGATTAGATCCAACTGATTGCGTAGTGCTGAAAAAAAGCTCTAAAGAAAAAAGGATGGGGCTCATACTCCCTTGTGTGTAACAAAAATAAAATGGCACGATAATGAAGTTGTCATCATCGCTAGCAGCTATATATCAGAGACAACAGTAGGAGTAATACAACGCTATAGTAAGGAAACAAAACGTACTGAAAGACCGACTACAGTTGTCAGATTTGATGAATACAATAATTTCCTAAAATTTGGATCCAAGGGGTAAAAGACTTACCAAGTCAACCATGGTGACTCATGTCCAGGCAGTGGTTTCTCAAGCAGTGGGACAAAATACTGCATTTCTCCTTTGATCGATCATTATCGTGAAGAGGAGGCACACACTTCCAGAAACTTCTGCGGCTTTGCAGTCTTTGTGAAACGGGATTGTAACTGAACAGTGGGTGCCGGGTGTTGCCAAACAGCTTGGTCTTTTCGGAAGAGCTTGGTACCGCCCTGCGTTCTACCACAAAAAAGGGGCCCCCACAATATCTCTATTGTCTGAATTTTTTTTTTTCCGAAGTTGCCTTCGGAAAAATTTATAATTTCAGACTAGTAAACACTAGTAAACAACTTTTCCTTTTATATTTTTTTTCGCGTTTTACCTTTACATAAAGTACTTTGTACAAAGATGATTACATTAAATATTAATAGAAATCAAGGGAAAATAATTTGGGGTCAAAGGGCCTCCACTTCTTTGTTGTCCCAAGGCCTCCAGACCTCTAAATCCGGCCCTGATCCACCAGTTTTGCTTTGGCTTATTTTACGCGCGATCATGCATAAGTTCGTTTCAAAAGTATACGACGCATTTATGAATGACTACCGCATTGTCAACAAGTTTGTTTTTAAGGAATAGAATTGCAATTTTTTTGGAAAAAAAAAGTTTGTTTTTATTTCAATAAATGAATAAATAAATAAATTTATAAAAATATACTTATATTTCACTGAACCTCCTGTGTAAATTTGGGCACCTTTAGAAAAGCCACCCTGTATATTGAGCTTGCGGGCCGATGTTCATTTTTTTTTCTTTAAAACTCTGCCCTTACTTTAGGATAATATTATCCTGTGTTGTAAAGACGTTTTACAAACATAAATTTCACGCAGACAAACACCCAGATGCGAAACAACTATCTGCGGGTCACACAAATAGTAGTCCCGTGTGGGAATCGAACCCACGACCCCCGACGCCGAAGCCAATACCTTGGCCACTGCGCCACAGAGCCATCAAACATATTTGCCCCCAACTTTACCCTAAAAATATTTGAATATGCAATTAAAAAAATCATAAGCATCATAATAACCATTTTTTTACTAACGAAAAACAAAGCCGACTTCAAATTTCTCTCTGTATTCATTGTATAATTGATTTTTCTGAGTATCTCCGGAACTCAAGATCGAATACAATGAAATTAATATGGTCCTACATGGGAAGCACCAGCTTTCAAATAAAAAAAGAATCAGAAGTAACAAACATAAAAGTTCAGAGGTAACAAACATAAAAAAAATACAGTCGAATTGAGCCCTTCCTCCTTTTGAAGTCGGTTAATAAAGTTTATTTCCTAACGTTACACGTTTTTATATCTATCTACACTGCTTTAAATTATCATAAAATAACATTATCTATTGGCTACGGCCTTGAACCTAACTTGAAGAGCGCATTAAATCTATTGATTAAAGTTACGTTTATAAAGAAAGATACTGCTGTAGATAGAACAGATGTCAGTATTGTAGAAACCGGCGTAAGTTCAAAAATATTTTTTATATTTTTAATCAACTTCAATTAAGGAGAGTTTTCAATTCGGTTATAATTTTGTTCTGTTGGTTACCTCTGAACTCCGTCATTTATGAACCTGGTTATGCTTTGAACTATGGTTTTGCTTTAAGTTTGGTTTAGTTGGATTTGACTGTTCTCTTGTTTAGATTCAGAAAGATTTTTTTCTCTATCTTTTGCGAGTGTATGTTATACAGCGTGTCGTTACCATCGCGACAATAAATGAACACACGTCTAACGCTACTTGCCAATAATCATAATAAAATATTAACGTTATAGAAAATCCATAATTAAAAAAAATATTTTTCAAACAAACTAATTAAGTAAAAAAGAAACAAAATTTGTAACATCCTATACAACTCGCGCCACAGCGTCTGTTTTGTCTCTTTTAAATTCATTCAACCCATTCATATGCTTTGTGACCTTTACAAATGAACTTTACGTTACGCTTTAATAGGTAAGGGTGTTTCTAAAATTCTTTGTTTTGGAAAATTTAATAACTCTGTAAATATTTATGTTTAAAGAATTTAAATGTTTAATACAACTTTAAAAAGTTATCCCCTATATGTGTGTTTATTTATCGTCGCGATGGTAACGACACGCTGTATACACCAGGGTGACAATGAAAGTTTTTAGAACTGGCCAGTTAGACAATGCCAATGGAAACTGATTTTAAATTTTGAATCTATCATTAATAATAATTAGGCTAGGTTGCATTCATTTGTCATTTGTTTCTGTGAATTGGCGGCAATTCTGAAAGTCTTATTACTCCTCAAAATTTAAGGCGAGAAAATTTTTCAGTCTATGATTTATTATGACTTTCTTGTTGCGTTGCTCAGCAACAAATGATAGACTTCGCTCGGCACTTAATAATGAAGCACCATCCCGTGCCACTGTTTATAATTGGTTTATGATAAGGAAGATAATAGCGATCTACCAGCAGATTCGAGCAGGCATTAGTATGAGTCAAGTACAAAAATGTTTCGCAAGCATTTGATCGTCGGAAAGCTTTATACTTTGTATCCATCAGGATTCCACATACCTTGACCGAAGACCAAAATCGCCTTCGCATGGATTGGTGTCGCGAAGTATTAGAAAAGTTCAACGGAGGTGACTCTAATGTTGTATTTGACATCGTCACAGTCTATGAAAGTTAATTTATATTGCGAAAACAAAAGACAATCTGCTCAATGGGTGTTTCCTTTCAAGGATCGGTCAACTAAAATAAAGAAAGGAAAAAATTAAGGAAAAAAATGATTGGCTCCTTCTTTGGTCGGTAAGGTCTTTTCGCGAAAGTTGTGCTGTAAGATGGATTGCATGGATCCGGTCCATTTCTACTTCAGCTTAAGTTATGGCGGTTACATTTGTTCTACTCCGGTTTATTGCGAACTCTGGCAGAGAAATACCGAGCATAATCCTTATATTTTTTATATCATATTACATACTTCTTCCAAAAGATAAAAAAATATTTGTCTAAACATGACATTCACTTTTAAATTAATAATAATATTATGCAAATAAAAATGAGTCACCATCACACACGGCGAGTTCGTCGCGACGAATTGTTCTTCTATTGATGATTCGTAAGGCCTCTGTTACACGAAGAACACTTACCTACTTATATATATATATATATATATATATATATATATATATATATATACACCGGCACAATTAGCGGAACACAAAAAAAAGCAGGATTTTAAAATCTTTTACTTGAGGAACTGGCCAGTTATGATATTTTTTTAATTTATTGTCAAATTTGAAAATAGAAAATTAGATGACATACACTTTTTTCATTCATTTGTTTTATTTTCCCGAACAATACGTTTTGTCAACTTGTTCGAGTAATAACTACGTAATTGTATTTTTTTTGAAAAATTGCACTTAATGGTTTTTTATAAATTTGTTATTCTATAGGCAATTTGTTAATTAAAAGCTCTTTATTATGCCTGACTTAATATCACTGGAAATCATTAGGGCTGATGAAATGAGGAGAAATGGCCATACCTACAGATCGATTGCCTCAAGGCTTCGTCGACCAGTATCAACGATTCATCGCAGCATCCAGCGGTACAGATCGTCTAATTCTCTTGTGAGGAGGAGGGGTCAAGGTAGAAAAAGATGTACATCGAGGCGAGATGACAGTTTTTTACAACTTGGAGTTCGTAGGAATACGCGATTAACGGCTGTACAAGCTCGAAATGAACTGGAAGACGTTCGAGGAGTACGAGTAAGTGAGCGTACAGTTCGCAGGAGATTTGAAGAAGTTGGTTTAGGGTCGTATATACCTGCCAAAGGCCCAAAACTTGAGAGACGTCACCGCGTAAACCGATTAAGCTATGCGCGAGAACATCGTCATTGGGATTTGAACGAATGGCAGCAGGTTCTCTTTACTGATGAGTGCAGAGTTCTTTTAAAACAGATCGATGGGAGACAGCGAATATGTAGACGCAAAGGAGAACGCCACATACAGTCTAATTTTGAACACACAGTGGCTTATGGTGGCGGCTCGATTACGGTTTGGGGAGGGATATGATTGGGAGCTCGCACGGAGTTAGTGATAGTCACAGGAGGGACCATGACCGCGGATCGATACATCAGAGACATTTTAGAAGAACATGTTGTACCATTTGCCCCATTTATTGGTGACGACTTTATTCTAATGCAAGATAATGCTCGTGCTCATAGTGCACAATCGGTACAGGCATATCTGAGCCACGTAGCTATACCGGTGATGCAGTGGCCAGCAAATTCCCCCGATATGAATCCGATAGAGCATGTCTGGGACTTGCTAAAAAGAAGGGTTAAATCCAGAATGCCACCCCCCAACAATCTGAATGAACTTGGAAACGCATTACTTGAGGAGTGGGGGCGGTTGCCTCAAGAAATCATCGATAACATAATCTGTAGCATGCCCAGACGAATGGAAACCTTAATCAGAGCAAGAGGGGGAAACACTCGTTATTAATTTTGCTTTAATTTTATTGTTAAATCATTTAATGCTTACTTTTTTTATTTTTTGTGATGGTTCATAATCATCTAAAAATTTCACTTATTTCAAATTTCTTTATTTTTCAATAAAAAATAACGAAGACTTTTCAAAGTCGTTGTTAAAGATGTTAATCAATTTGTTATTTTGTGTCTAATTACATTTTCGCCAAATATATGCGTTATTATCTCATAGTCTCACTTTTTTTTCTGTTCCGCTAATTGTACCGGTGTGTATATATATATATATATATATATATATATATATATATATAATATTTATTAACCTTTTTTTAAAATGTTGCAAAATATTATGATATGACCTCCATATTTTTTATTTTTATCATTTAAAACTGTTATTATTATCGTACCGATTCACCCGTCTGTCTTAAGCTTTATTGATCGTGTATTATATCTTAAGCGTGTTTGATATTTTTAACTATTTTACTGCTAATATAAACACTGTTATTTTTTTTTTCAGTGTTTCAGAAACTGAGCGTTAGTGTCAATAATTCAAATTTCTTTTTAACATAAATTATTAAGCAATTATGGTGTTGAGAATTTATTCATTTAGATGGGGAGATGATAAACTTTCGGCAGTTGTTACTAAGAAAACATCAATTGCTTCATTTCAGATTAAAAGCCTTATCACTGCAGGTCCAAGCGACGCCAAAGGTTCGGTTAGGCCTCGTGTGACGTGGGTGCAGCCGTCGTTAGTTGGCGCGTGAATGGGGCATGGGGTATCATTGAACAACAGCTGGGGCCTGGGCAGCCGGACAAGCGCCCGCGCAAGCCAGTCGCGTTTGAGGCGCCGCGCGCTGCGCGCTATTACGTTTTATTGGATTGCGTTGATCTGAATTTTTACACGATATAAATTTAGTATGTTGTTTTATCATACACATTAATGAAAAATTTTCTCATCAATCCTTTTATGATGTTTGAGATTTAGTAACTCACATTGGACCATTTATTAAGGCGTCAGTGTCATTATAATAGTGAAATGCAAATACGTAAATAAGTAAAATTTATTATTGTAAGTATGATAGCAAATAATTAAATTTAAAGTAAAAAAACTGTTTTATTTTTGTTTTGTTTGTGAAGGATTTTTTATTACCATTGAAACGAATTTTATTCCCTTCATTAGACAACTGCTGGGCACAAACAAAACTGTAAAGGTAAAAAGTTCGAATCTCGATCTGTATTTATAAAAATGGGACGTATTAATTTTTAACATTTTTATTTTATTTGAAACTTTTTCTTACCTTAATAATTGCATAATAAAATGTCTTACAAAATACTTTTCGTTCTACCTTCGGAGAACTTTCTTTATAGTTATACATATCCGGCACGCTTCGATCCCATGATTGACTAGAAAGAATTATAACGGAAGAAAAAACATTGCGTAACAATCGATTCACTTTAAATTCCTTTGCTTTTTCTACGTTTTGTATTTCCAGTCGGAGAAGGCGTGGGCGGCAATTTAAATTCAAACTACGAATATTACCAACATGATAAAAAACGTATTCAGTATTTACATTGGCTTTTGTGTTGTTACAAGTGTTGCTAGTGCAGGAAACATATGTGACATTGTTTGATATTCAGTGTAAGTGGGGCGGGCTTATGGGGCAATGTGTGTCCCGGGACGATCCGGGCGCTTACGCCTTCTCCCGGCACTATGATGCCGAGAGTTTGGCCAGCAGCGTGAGCGGACACGCCAGAAGAGTAAGTATCAATAGATGAATTAGAATAAGAAGCCTGTCTATTCTTCCCAGATATTAGAAGACTACGCAGCTTAGCAGTTAACTGCCATTAAATTTAAGTCGAGTAGTAGAAAAGTCTTTCAGACACTTGAACTTCTCAAATGAAATAGTTTACCTCTAAAAAGTAGCTACCAGTATTGACGACTCTGAGCGTTATCCCTAGTCAATAAAAAGAATGAATTAGTACTCTAACTCTATGGCTTTTTATACTGTTCGATTGTTTCATTTTTTCAGAATGAATGTCAAAAGAATGATTATGATTGGGTTAATGGTAGTTGGTTGACTATTTTAAATGTTAATTTTTCCTTGCAATAACAAAA